CTTTTTGATCTTTATTTTCTTTTGCTAATCTTTTAAACTCTTGACAAATTTTGCTTATACTAATGGTGTCTTCATGAAGAGGTGTCATTGTTCTTTTTGTTTTTTGTACTGTATCTTTTGATGAGTTTGGTATCTTCTTATATGGAATATTTAATTTAGCTACGTATAATATTCCTTGTTCAAAGGACATCCATATATTATCAATATCTTGCTAAGAGATTTCATCGATATTTTTGTTAAGTATATTTATTGATGTTGAATGTTTACTAAGAAAAAAATGCAAAGAGGCTCTATAGTCTTCCCAGTTCTCATTCGTGGCTTTGTTATATAAGAAATTTAAACACGAGCCTTTAGTTTGATTAAAACTCTGAGTATTATCTAATATGATCGTTTTGCCCTTTAAGCTTATTAGTACTGTGTTGTGATCACTTTCTGTTATAAGCTCCATGTCCATAATTTTTGCTTTATATAGATTTGGGGTTAAATCTTCGGAAATCCATATTTGGTCAATCTGTGTAGCTGTGCTACCATTTGACCATGTATACACTTGAGAGTCTAGGTTCAAATGTCTGAAAGTATCCACGAATTTTTGCTTTAACAACTATGTATGTAGAGGAAGTCTTTTATGTAATACTGTGCTACTAGGACTACACTTATTTAGATCTGGTGTTAAAACGTAATTGAAGTCTCCCATGATTAATGTTTCAAAACTCTTGGCTCTGTTCAAATAAATGTTAAGAACTTGCTATTGTATCATCTTTGTTTGCACTTGATTGTTTGGTGGAAGATATACAATAAGTATATCTAATTTTAGAGACTTTAAAATTATGTAGAATTCTAGCAAATACTTGCTGTGTCTTTTGAAGTTACCGACATACTTATGGATCTTTTTGCTGATTAGTACACCATTTCGAAACCTTTCTTCTTGTTGGAGCTCAAGTTTGTCCAGTAACTTTTGTATAGGCTATTTAGTGGGAGGATATAATTGCCCTTTTCCTGTATGATATTTGTCTCTGTTATTCCTATAATATCAATTGCTTTCTCTATTGCTCAGTTTGTCAAATGTAAGAGCTTTTGGTTATTTGATTTTAGTCCATTAATGTTATAACATGCTAGTTTTAATTCTATATCTACTTCTAATTCTATTTCATAGGCATTATTATTTATCTTAAGTGGTGTACGCCCTAACAAGCTATCTTGCTCGTTTGATTTCAGTAATACAACTGGGGCGCCCTTAGGAGAAATTGGGGGCTGGCCCCCCCTGTCTTTCTTCTATTTTTTGCAATCTATTTAAAATTTGTTTCAAAATGTTGTCTTGTGAAATATTCACAGGTGTATGAACCTTTCTTGACTTTTTAGTATTTCTACTATGTGATCTAGTCATTTTGTAAATATTTTCATCTCGGCTTAATTCTATTGCTTGCTCATTTTGATTTTCTTGCTTTTCTCCAATTTCAATTCTATTTGACCCAGTTGCAATCACATTTTTAATATTTCTGAGAGGCTTTCTACTTCTATTTACAAATCTAGGATTAGTGATACATCTATCTAGTTTACTGTTGTCTGTCTACACAGAGTTAAAATTTCTATTTTCTTTTAATTAATTTGTGTATACCCTTTTGGTTGGGTTCTTTTCTTTCAGAAATTCCAAATCTGTTGTCACTCTTTTCTCTTTATTTATGTTTTTAATCTCTCTCTTATAGTAGAATGTGCTACCAGGTGCGCTTTTCCAAAATAAATTTTCTGAGTAGGTGCGCCACTCAAGTTTGAAATTGAAATAGTAAGGAGTGCAGCCTTGTGCTAGAATGAGGTCTTTCTCTGATTTGAAATATACTTAAGCTACTTTTCTTTGGTTTCCGTTGTTATTGCTAAGAATATGGACTGCTTGAACTTTATATCTTTTAAGTTGGCGCAGAAGAAGACTATCCTGAGCTGTAGTTGGTAAATTAGTAATTAGACATTTATGCTTATTTCTTGACTCCAATTCTGTAATATTAAAAATGCCCGGTGTCGTTTAATATGTTTTGCCTAATTCTAATTGAGTTGACCAACTTTCCTTTACAAATTTTCCTTTGAATTCTAACTTAGGTAATAACTTAATATGAGCTGCCCTCATTCTGAAATTATTTTGCCAAGCTATAACTATTGCTATACTATAGTAATTCAAATATGCTACAATTACTGAGCTATCTATTCTTTTTGGTAAATCCCAAATCATAAAATCAAATATAGAGGGATTATCAGATTCTTGATGTGCGATTTTATTTTCCAAAGCCCAAGCAGAATTGTATATGTCTTCATGTTGTTTAGATTTTTTATATATTTCATTGCTTGAGGTTTCTATATCTATCTGAGATTTCTCTTTGATATGATCGTTAAGACTATAATCTAATGTACCACATTCATTTTGTACTAAGGCATCTTTGACTAAATCTGAATGATTTTTTTGTATATTTCGATCTAAAATTTGATCTGTGTGATTGCGTTTATGAGGATTGCCTTGAGGTTCCAATTTGATATTGCTAATAGTGTTGATAATTTCTACAGTTGGGGCTATCTGTGTAATTTCCATAAAAGTCAGATTAATTCTATTTATATTGGTGGTCAAAGAGTTCTTTAACTCTGTTTTAATTTCTATTTTAGTTGTTTTGGATGCAGTGGACAGTTGCTTAATTACACCTTCCATATGAAAAAGTTTAGCATTAATATTTGTACTACTTTCTTGAGGTTGCTTTTTGTCTATTCTATCTATTTGCATCGTAGTGGGCTTGTACAATCTAGAAGAATTTTTTCTTCATCTGATAAGCTTTGTTCTCTTGCTAATTTATATTTTGCAAAATTATAATATTGTAAAGTATTGCGTATAATTGCGATCAAGTAAGTTTCATTAGTGCCAAGATATTTTGCCACTTTTCTATCCTGTTCAAAAGTGAAGCTTCTTGCTCTTCTTTTATTGAAATTCTTTTGGTATCAGACTTATTAAAGAAATTTTTGTATATAGTAAGCTTAGGCATTATTATACTATCTAGTTGCATTTGTTCTAATTTCGAATGTTCTAAAAAAGTATCAGTTGGTAGCTATAAGTTCGCGTCTTTGTTTATTTTGTTTTGTTGTTTGTTTGTCTATACTGCTTATGTAATTGTTGTGTTGCCTAAAACAGACATGTTTGTTTGTTTACTTGTTTGAGATTAGCAAAACAAGGTTGACAGTAAATTCCCAGTTTTTCCAAAAAATAAAAGAAATTTTTTCCAAAATTTAAAATTTCTAAAACACAAGTCCAAAAAGGTTTTTGTATACAAAATTGTCTTATGAGACTCTAGTTATTTTTCTTCTCTCTATTCTTTTTCTTAGTACTGTAAAGGTTAATAACTTAGCAATATTTTGCCTTAGGTCTGATTTTTCTTTCTTGCCAAATTTGGTTTTAGTGATCGATAGGAAGAGTTGATATTACTTCTGTTACCTTTAATATTAAAAATATATATATATATATATATATCATATATAATAAGCAGAAATATAGCTTTTTAAATTAAATATATTATTACAAGTAGACTATAGTCTTCTTAAAAATATAGTACTTGCAATACAGCATATGGCGACAAAGATCTATAAATCAACAGAGTAGATATGAAGTAGTGTAGAAGTAAAATATAACAATATAAGTAACAACTTAACAGTTCTGGAATACTAAAAAGAAGAAAGCCAAAATTATACTTAGAAGATATATATATAAGTTACAGATATATAAGAGAAACTTTCAATTATTTAGTAGAGTATATAGAAAATATTAATTACTGAGATATTATAGAGAAGCTAGTATGTTTAACTATATAGAAGGAAATAGATAGTATATACAAAAGAGTAATATCTATTAAGATATTCTAGTTGATAATTGTTAGTAATATAGCTAAGAAGCAGACCAAGTATAGAAGAGATTATATTAGGAGACTTGTACTTAATAATATAGTAGTAGAGCTTTTAAATCTAGAGCTATCAAAAAAGATTATAAACCAGATACTAGATAGTTATACAACAATTGTAGAAAGTAGCTTCTTTGATGAAATTTAGCAAATTAAATACAAAGTGGTCATTAAATAGAAAAAAGATAATAATATATATAGTAATAAAGAAAAGTAGCTAAAAAAATTTCTTTTCTAAGTATATCAGAAAAAGTGTGATATTAAAAGTAAAGAAGAGCAAAAATAAGAGTAATTTAAGTAGTTTAGATAAACAGCAAGTAGTGAAAAAAATACAAAAATTAAAAAACTATTTAAGATAAGCATTGGTGAATATATTAAAAATAAGTTAACTTTGTTTTAGTTTAGTTTTTGATAGAGCTAACAAAGTGTTTCAACCTATATATAGATTGGTGCAACAAGTTATACCTAGATATACAAGATCTAGCCAAGTGATATCAAGCTTGCAATTTTTAATTAGATATTATTAGAAATTTTTAAACTTTGCTTTTAGTTTAATAATAATATAATTTGTTTAAACACTAACAAAACTATTAAAGAATTAAAAAAAAAAATTTAAAAAATTTATAAATAGTTAGAGTAAGAGTTATAGTTTAAATTAAAATTAAATTAGAGGAAAATTATGTTCAGTGATTAACAAAAACTCTTTCTGGTCCACTCCTGAAAATCATTTTCAATAGTAAAAAATAGCAAAAAAGTAAAATTAAATAAGTATAGTTTAACTGTTAAGAATACCTGAGTGTGTTAAGAAGGCCCCAGTGAAACCAGCACTTGGTTAGAGGCTAAGAAAGTGCTGGAAACAAAGGATAGGAGAACTAACTTCACATTGCCACCCTTTCAAGAGTAACCTAATAAAAGAAGAATGAATGAAGCACAACTTATGAAAATTCTTAATACAGAGCCTGAATAGCCAATTAACAATAGGAAGGACTCTTCAAAAAGTAATAATAGAAAGAAACCCAAGCACCACATACTAATCAGGCTGAAGAAACTGTTTCTACAGAGGAAACTTTGCTTCAAACAATGGAAACCACAAACCCAAAACTGAATCAAGCAATACTCATAGATGCAGAAAGAATTTTCACACCAAATGGTGGCCCTGAGTTCTTACAGGACAATCTGTACAACAATACAGACAAACCAATCGACATTGCAGCTATAAAGGACCAACTAAAATCATCAGAACTAGATATAGACCCGACAGAACAAATAGATACAGAACCAAACCAGGATGGAAGGGTACTAACTGAATAGCCAATAGCAGAAGAAGACAAGACATTAGAGGGGTGTGAAAAAACAAGTGACGAAGAGAAAGTGACACCATCTTATAAACAAATACTAATGAACACCACCTATGCTAATGACTCCTACGTGGAACTTGAAACAAAATGGTCAAAAGTTATGATAAAGTTCACGCATAGCAAACAAGAAGAATGTTGTAACGCTTATACCTGGGATAACAAAGCAATTAGTGAAGCAACCCACAAACTAGAGTCCTTCGAAAAGTTCTTGTGTCATAAATATACAACAATTCTGACAGAGAGTGAAATTCCTCATACAATTAAAATCAAAATTAAACATATAGACAAATTCTTCTTTTACACCTTTACACAGAATCATAAAGCAAAACCAGCACATCAGTTGGAATTCGATTAATTATTCTACATAGCACAGAATAGATATAAAGCGCAACACAATGTATTACAAATTAATAAAACTAATCATGACCAAATATTCCGAATACTAAAAATGAAGTTGAGCTTCAACTTCTTATGGAATTATGATATGCTACAAGCTAGTGCTCATAACAATACCTGTATACTATATTATTGTTTAAGGTTCGCAAATGTATAACATGAACTTAAATTCGAAAAAATAAAAAAGAAGATAGAAGAAATAAAAGCAAATATGCATTTAGAACTGCCAAAATTTCCTGAAAGTATACTACAAGAAATCTATAATGTGATCACATTTGACCTGCCAATCACTGATAGAAGACTAACGAAGCCCACAGTCCAAGCTTTAAGAAAGGTTTTTAACTTTGTAATGCTACCAGAATCATACTTTGATAAACAAAAAGAGCAACTTCTGGAGAACTCAAAAGAATTGATACTAGCAGTGGCCAATATTTTTTAATTACAGAACAAGCGAAGCTGGTGAACTTGAAAGAATATAGAAGAATTCTAAATAGATATTATGTTCTAGATAAGAAGTTACCTGAAGCATACTTCAACTTTCCCCCTCCTAAACCAAACCCCACAAGAACTAAATAAAAAAATCAGACACATGTTCCCATTCTATCCATACAATCAAGACCACTTTAGGAAATATGTAAATATATTAAGAGAGCACTATATATTTAAAAGAGTACGTAACGACTTCATCATAGCAAAAAGAAAACTTCCACAAGACCCCAAAAACTTACACTTAAAAACAACATTCACTTTCCCAATCAACAGTAAAGAAAAAGCCCTTAATTTTATTCAAAAGATATCAGAGAAATATAATATACTCTCTGTATTCGCACCATAATACATAAGTGTAAATTCTACAGAGAAACCTAACCTTCCCCAAGACTATAAAGAAATAGAAGGATTCAAAATAATTATTTCAATAACCTTCATAGAACAAGTAGCAGATATAGCAAGAAGATTAAAAACCAAATATTACTTCTACAGAATACCAGAAAACTGGATTAAAATCAAAGAAACACACAGTAACTCACCACACAATATCAACAACTTACCAAACACTATCGAAGAATTAAAAGCAGAAGTGAGAAAAAAACAGCTGGAGCTAATTAATATAATACCTATAGTAAGACACTAGGGTTCCGCAATTCGATTTGATTTGATTTGATTTGATCAAATATTTGATCTCAAATCAAATTCAAATACAGGAATTTCAAATCAAATCAAATTCAAATTGACAAAATATTCGATTCGATTTGAAAATACTTAATAAAAATTACAAATAAATTTGATTTGATTTGAATTTGATTTGATCAAATCAAATTCAAATACAAAAATTTCAAATCAAATCAAATTCAAATTGACAAAATATTCGATTCGATTCGACTTTGAGGAACCCTATAAGACACGATGAAAAAGAAGCAGTCATGAAATATTTAATTCAGAACTTTGAGGTAAATAGCTTCCCAAACTTCATCAATAAGTTACCTGACCTTCTAGAACCTAGATGAGACATCTTTGAATTGAATAATAATGATATTAGAACAAATACAGAACAATAAAACATCACAACAAAAAACTAACAACAAACTAAAATTAATAAGATAAAGGATAAGGCAATAAAAATCATAAATCATAATGTTCAAGGCATAAACATAGATACAAAATTGCAGATCTGGTTGGAATACTGTAAAGAAGAAAACATAGATATCATAGTTATAACAGAGACAAAGCTCACAGTATCTGTATATCCTTTACACTATATTAATCTTTTATACAAAATATATATATCAAATTGCGATAAAAAAACTGCGAATATTAACGAGTCATCGAAAGGGGTCTTAATGGCACTAAGCGAAAGAATACAGCGCTACATCTACGATGTAAGCTCGATACCAGGAATAGCAATAAAAGTTGACCTTTTCCTACCTGGAAACCAATGTGTTAAAGTCATAGGGGTGTACACATCGTCAAAGCTAGACCAAGAGAACAGAAAAGCCTAATCTGAGATAAAGAACTGAATAAATAATACGAGAGCAAAGAATATGTACACACTAGTAATAGGAGACTTCAATAAAGACTCAAGGAAGACTCCAACATTGCTCAAACATTTGAGAGATATAGGCCTGATCAGCCTGCTGCAAATGCATAACATAAATGAGTATACGTAGTCACGGGGTGAACAGTACAGTCAGATAGATGACCTGTGGATCGATCCAGAAATAATTCAGGAGTTCCAAAGACCTGACCTATATTCAAATATATCCACTACGGATAGTGATCATGTAATAATACAAACCCAGTGGAAGATGCATATACCAACTAAAGCTACAAAAAAGAAAAAAGTTATTCCTATATGACAAAATGAGTGCAGAGAGCTGGGCAGAATTTACAGAATATGTCACCCAACATATGACTGCATCCTCTACACTAAATAATCAGATAATCGACATTGTATCCTTAAATAAAGCATGAAACAACTGAAGCAATATAGTAAAACAAGCTGCAAATAAATTTATTACAAAAAGCTACTGTACAAATAAAGTTCACTACACTTACACATTCATAGCAACTAGTCTACACAAAGAAATAAAAGTACTTAACAAAGTTATCTTGCTACTAACAAAACTGGATGCACCATGGAGTATTAAAGAGCTAACAGATAGAGTTAATAGCAAAATAAAAGAAGTATCAAAGCTCACAGAACTTATAATAAATGATATAGGTGAAGTTGAAATGCAGACCTCTAATATACAATCCACAATATCAAAAGTAAAAGCAGCTAAAAAAATAATACAAAAAGTGAGAGAACTAGAGAATTTAGCAGTGAAAAGAGATCAAATTAATAAACATATCGAAAGAAGATATACAAATTTCAAAGAAAATACGAAGAGCATAATAAACAGTATAACAAAGAGGGTAAAGACAAGAGTATCTTTCAACAATATCATAACACGAACAGAAGTAATAACAGATAAAGACAGAATAAAAAGAGAGACAAGAGATTACTTTAAAAAATAGATGCAGAGAAATCCAATGAACTACAAGAGATGAAATGAATAAGAAGAAGAATACAAACCTAAAGATAGCATTAATCAAAAAACCTTTAGCTCACTAGAAAATTTAATATCTCAAGAAGAGATAGAAGAGACAATAAAGTTGACCCTAGTTGATAAAGCAATGGGCCCCTCAATGTTAGCAAACAAAACCTTAAAAAAACTATCGAGGATAGCTATTGAAAAGTTAAGAGAGATATACAATGCAGTATTAATACTATAAGAAATACCAGTAGAATGGAAAAAAGGTCTGGTATAGTCAATAGCAAAGTCAGGATATTGCGAAGGTGACCTAAGCATGACTAGACTCATAATGCTAATTGAGCATTATCGAAAAGTGTTTACGAAGATTCTAGCAAATAGAATAAGCAGCATATTAACTAAATATAATAATATTCTATCCAATGCTAATAATATTGCAATCTCATTTTCACAAATGATATTCTCAATTCAACAAATAACACATATCCAAGAAGATGCTAAGTTATGAAATAAAAAACTATGGATACTAGTACAGGATATGTCAAAAGCATATAACCGTATATACATACCTTTGTTAGAGAAGGCATTAAATAGAATCAGTATGAACAAGAATATTACCAAACTACTAATCAACATTCTAGTTGGGAAAGAGAATCAAGTTATAACAGAACTAGATAAAACATCACTATACAAAGTAAAAGACGGTCTAGACCAAGGTGGCATACTCTCTCCAATATTATGGAGAATTTATTATGATCTGTTGATTAAGAAAATACAAGAATCCAACTTGGGGTACATAACAGAGGCCGGCGCTCAATGCACTACACAAAAACAAATCTTTATCTCAGTAATAGCTTATATAGATGACATAACTTGGGTTGCATTGAGTAGGAAAAACTTAGAAAAAATATTAGATATTGCCTCATCTTTCTTTGACTTAGCTCAAATTAAGGTCAATCTTACAAAGTCAGCCCTGATACACAACAATAAAATCAACATCTTAGGAATACATTTCCAGAATGAATTAGTGTATAATATAAAGAAAAACGAAGTAGTAAGATTTCTGGGAACAAACCTAGACAGACATTACTCTAATATGTATACTAGAAAAAAGATCATCAGTGAATATATATATGATATTGTAAAAATAAGATATAGTAAAATAACAGAGAAACAGACAATTTAAATATTAAACAATGTTGTGCTAGCCAGTAGGGCTAAAAAGGGAGTTCTGGGGTCACTTTTTGGTACCCTGGGTACCAAGTATTCATTTTGCTTTTTAGATCGCTCAAGAAGTCTATATTCTATAAAAACTCTTTACTACCTATATAAAAACCTGGGTACCAAAAATTATATAGTTAGAACTCTCTATTTTTATATTTTATAATCAAATTGGATAACGACAAAAAAATGATC